AGGGATGAGGTTAAAATCTAAAGCAAAAAATAGACAGGGGGTGGAGGGTTCTACAGAACTGAGAAGACTTACAGTCAAGTATAAATTATGACAATCCGCGGAAAGAGGAAAAGAAGGGAGAAGAAGTTTTTGGTGCTTAATTCATATTTGGTCACATCACCTCATGGAATATCAGTGGTATAAACAACCATAATAAGAGACAAGTGATTAAGGATTGTATGAATAGATGGAAACCTCTCTAGTTTGCCTTTAGGAATCTAAGATAGAATCTATCTATTAAGGGATTATCCGGTGCCTTTGGAAGACCAAGGATATAGGTTTTTAGGCAGGTATATAGAGGGATTCTGGTTCTATGGAAAGATGAGGTTCTAAAATGTGGGAGATGTTGGAAAAATGCTCTACTTTATGTCTGTTTGAAGATCGTATGAATGGGTGGAGATGGGTGCTTACTGGCGTCTACAGCATAGGCGAATAGAGAGAGGAGCTTATTGTGGAAGGATTTGGATCACTATAAGCAAAAATAGGATTTCTCATATATTACGGGGCAGGATTTCAATATGATTTTGAGCAAACATGAAAAATCAAGAGAGCATTTCTCAAGAGTTTGTGCTAAAGAGTTTAAGAAGACTCTTGACAGACTTGATCTACTGGATTTACTTGGGAGGTAAATGGCAGTTCAATCAGACACTCAACCCAGCTTGTCCAATAATTGATAGGATTTTGGTATCAGTTTCCTGCCAATTACAAATGATGAGTCTAAGTCAAAAAAATTTTGCAACAGAGTAACTCTAATCATTTCCCTATTTGTCTAATCTCTGATGGAACCAAGTAGAGTCCTTGTCTCTTCAGGTTTGAGGATAAATTGTTAAAAATCAATGATTTCTATGACAAGATTAGTGAATGGTGGAAAGGAGCAACAGTAGATAGCAAGGCTAGCTTCAGAGTGTCTTAGAAGATGAAGTTAATGAAGGTCAAAATTAAGAAGCGGTGAAAGGAAGAGGGTAGGGGTGAAGGTATGCATACTCAATCTCTATTACAAGACATTTAGGCCATTAATAGAACGGAGGAGGAGGGTGTTTTGTCCACTAAAGACTTGGCATGCAAGGAATCCATAAAACTCAAATTGGCAAACAAATTTACAAATTGAGGAAATATCAGGGAGACAAAAATCAAAAGATAGGTGGACAAAGGAGGGAGATAGAAACACAAAACTTTTTCATTGTATGGCAAATCATCACAGGAAAACCAACTATGCAGAAGAGATTGAGATAGATAACCAATTAGTGAAGGGTAATGAGCAGCTGAAGCAAGGGTCATGGAATTTTTTTTGCAGATTATACCATGAGGAGTTCAGTTGATGGTCTGACCTCTATGTCTTTGGATGAGCCAAGTCAAGAATCGTTTGAAAAAGATCTCACTGAGGAGGAGATTCTTGAGGGACTCACACAACGTAGACGAGATAAATCTCCTGGACTCGGTGGTTTCAACATGGGTTTTCTATAAAAATTTTGGCATATAACGGAAGAGACATTTTTGAGCTCTTTAAGGAATTGTATTTTTATCTGGATTCTTTATAAATCCTTAAACTCTTCCTTCTTGGTACTATCAGCTTAGTTGGGAGCGTCTATAAACTCAGTACGACAGTGCTGGCTAGATGGATGGCCAAGATGATGGATAAGGTTGTGGGTGAGAGTCAACATCCTTTTATGGAAGGAAGACAGATTCTAGATGCGGCTCTTGTAGCTAATGACGTTGTAAATGGTGTATTATTAAAAAATAGGGAGGGTGTCTTATGCAAGTTGGATATGAAAAAGCCTATGATCGTGTAAATTAGGGTTTTCTTGATTATATGCTAAGGAGATTGGGTTTCACGGGCAAATGGTGCTAGTGGATCAACTCATGTATTCTGCGGAGTTCTGATGGGAATGAATCAACTCATGTATTTCATCTTTAAACAATACTTATGCTGAACAGCTATTTCTCCTCCAAATTCAAACACATTAGGAGGGAAAAAGAACGTTCAACTAACAATCTCTCGACAAAGAGTCCTTAACCAAAATAAGAAATGTTTTTATTCTTCCAAAAATAAGGACAATGAGCAGGACCGTAACTGCAATTATCAAACATTCAGAGCAGGGAACTTAACAATTCGCAATACACATTAACTTAGTATACTAAAGTAATGCAAAACAAAAAGTGAATTCGATGTGAAAAGGGATCTTCGAGAAACGAACCAGTAATAAACGGCTTTGCACCGAGAACAACGCGTGATGGTTGGCGAAAAACACACGGCACATTGGTAGACCTTGGGGAACGAACTGTATCCGGCGGCAACTTGAAACTCGGCCAAGGCGGATTCCCTGGAGGCTTGAGCGAGGAGGTGCATGACCTCCTCCTTCCTGGCCGCCGTATTCCTCCATTTATAGCGGATAAAGAGGAAGATAATGAGCACAGACAGCAGCAATACGCTGTAAAAACCTAGGATCCCCGGGATAACCATTTAAAAATTAGCCGGCGCCGAGAATACCCGAACGGAGAAACTCAGAGACGGCTATTGCGGTATACATGAATCCAGCGGCGGCGGAGGTGGAGGCGGAGGAGGACGATGGTCGTGGGAAGAAGAGGGGAATTCCAAGTGGTGGTGGTGACGACGATAGGCTACGTGCATCTGGAGAAGCTGAAACTGAAGGAAGGGAGGGAAGGAAGAAAAGAAGGAAAAAGAAACCAAGAAAGGAAAAAGGGAATTAACCATAGAAATAAGAGGAGGAAATACATATTGTCCGTACGTATTTTATTTTTATTATTTTTTTAAAATTTCTTTTTAAAGGGTAAATAAATTTTTCTGCTTTTATTTAATAATTTTTTTTTTAAGAAACAAATAATTTTTTCCTTAATTGAAAATAACCAAAATAATCTTTTACATACTAAATAAATTCAAATCATCTCTTAAATAAATATATATTGAAATTCTTATACGAGATATAATTATTATTTTTCACTTAAAATTTGTATAATTTTTAGTACTAACAGATTTTTAAGTGTATATCGCTTTAACCCGAAATATATTATAGATTAATCATATATAAAAAAAGGTTATGAATTTTTTTTTCTAAACTTACGAATTTTAAACTAAAATTTAATTCCTCAAATACAAAAATAAATTCAAATAAAAGTCGTACAAAACTAACGTATAAATATTACACATCATAAGTTAAGAAACTTCGGTGATATTTATAATGAAATCGAATTTAACTTTTTAAAAATTTATGTTTACGCGACGTCTTATTAAATTTATTTAATTCGTTGAAGTAGTTTTATAATAATTTTTGTCAGCACCACCAAAATTTGTCAAAATTATTGAAAACTTCAAATTCCAATTCCAAATCTACCAAGAAAAAAGCTAAGAACCCACAAAATTTCAAACCTCCCCCCTGTGAATTCCTATCCCAAGAATTTCAAGCTTTACCATAATACACACACGTACAGATACATATATGTATATATGTGTGGTCGAGATTCAACTCGGGATGAGAAGCAGGTGGAATAATCATTTATGAAAAAAGGAGATCCTAGTTGTAAATTGGCCCACGTATGATGACGCGAACGAGCCAACGACAGATTTGTCGGCATCATGTGCAGCGACGATTGCCAGAAATTAACTGTTGATGCGGTCAATATATATTTGGTCGAACCAAATGATTGAAAACGACGTCGTGTTGGTCCGCGTCCATTACAGATTTGGATGAACTGTGTTTGAGTTTAAATATTTACCTACTAATATATGATTTTTTTTTTTCTTGCACTTGAAATGTAAATTTATGGTTCTATGTTAAATATATAAATATTATTATTTTAATTATGTAATTGATGAATAAATGATAACTTAAATTTTGTATGTTAATTTATTAAATTTTAATACAATGAAAAATAAATACATTTAAATAAAAAATAATTTAAATATTAAAGTGTAAATTTATTAAAAATTAAGGAGTATGATTAAACGTATGTCTTATTTTGGTCCCCCACGAGTTGGTAGCGGATATATTATTGCCCGAATGAAATAAACCACATGTATATATTTTATCGACCACAATAGTACAATTTCATTAATTATTGATATAACATTATAATATATATGTATATACATGCATATATTAAAATATTTAATCTAAAGAAACAAAAAATTTAACAGGCCCACGAACATTAATAAAATATATTAAAAATTAATATAAGGTCGCTCTAGAAACTCCATTTTCTAGTAGTTAACTTTTTTAGCAGTGCACAAAGCGACGAGCGTCGCTTTGGCCGAGTGGTTAAGGCGTGTGCCTGCTAAGTACATGGGGTTTCCCCGCGAGAGTTCGAATCTCTCAGGCGACGTTTTGTAGATTTTTTTTTAAATTTCGTGTGGCTCTTGTGGGACCCGCTGAATCCAGTGGTTCTGGCTGAGTCAATAACCTGCTCCGGATCCACCTAAAGCTTAATCTGCTGAAAACACGTGTACGGGTGAAAAGATTTACCTTTCCACCAGGGTCAGCGCGGGCATTTTGACTTTGCGGAAGTACTACCATGGCTTTCACACGCGATACATCTACGATTTTGGACCGTTAGATTAAGTAAAATAAAATCCTAACCATTAAAAAATCAGTATTTTTTTATTAACGTATTATTTAAATTCTAAATGTAAATTTTGAGTATGGAACATAATTTATACGTTTGAACAAATTTTTAATGTCAACATTGTTGATGATATAATTCATATGAGTTGTATATCATTATTTATATTATTTATTTTATTAATTTATGCCTACAATTTCAAATTAAATAATTAATTAGTAGTCTACTGATTTATTGGTAATCTAATACATCAATATGTTTATTAATAATTAGTCTTACTTTAATAACATATAAAATTTAAAATGTTAATTTTTTAAATCATTTATTTGTAATATGAAAAATTATTATTTATGTTATTTTAATTAAAGGATAATAATACTGATTTACGAGACTGAATATTACGCATATATTTAATTATATGTTTAGTACTACAAAGTAAATAGTATATAAGTACGAAAGTTTTTTTAAGAAAAATTATTTTTGGTGAAATAAATTTATCCGAAATTGTGTACAAAACGTGAAAATTTTAAAGAACAAAAATATGTTTTTTTTTTTTTTTAACTTATACCTAAGTTACCATATGCAAAGTCGAATTTTATGTTTTTAGAATATAAATTAAAATAAATTATTGAATTAGTTTATAAAATTTGACATTTTTTATAATTTTATTTATAATATTTTTATTATAATTTTATCAATCTTTTATATTTATGAACGATATTTTATATTTTGATCTCATTTAATTTAATTCGATTTAATTTAATTTGAAATAGCTTTTTATGTTAAATTACAAGTTGATATTAGATTGAGCTATAATTTACGAAAAAATAGGATAAATTATAATAAGTTCGAATAACGATATTTTTTATACGAACTAATTTAATTCAATTAAATCGAATCAAATCTAATACAATTTTTTTCTGTTAAAATACATATTCATGCTACATTGAAATCGAGTTTGTTAGAAAATAATCTAAGTTATAATAAGTTTGAATTTTGTCTTATAGAATCTGCAAATAAGATCCTGTTATATTTAATTATATTTTTAATTATTTATTACTATAAGTATATTTATATTTTTATTAATATAGTAATATTACCATTTTATTTAATAAGGATGACTCGAATTTTAATATGTTAAACTCCACTTTATATCAGTCTACTGTCATTATTATTTACATATATATCAAAATTTGAGTTTCTATTAATTTTTTATCTAATGGATGATTCGAATATTATGGATATGTTTAATTATATGTTTAGTACTACAAAGTAGTTCGAATAACGATATTTTTTATATGAACCAACTTAATTCAATCAAATCGAATCAAATCTAATATAATTTTTTATGTTAAAATATATATTCATGTTACATTGAAATTAGAGTTTGTTAGAAATTAAATTGAATTCGAATTTGGTCTTATAGAATCAGCCAATAAGATCCTGCTATATTTAAATATATTTTTAATTATTTATTACTATAATTATATTTATATTTTTATTATATTAAAAATATATTTATATTTTTATTAATATAATAATATTACTATTTTATTTCATAAGTTACCATATGCAAAGTCGAATTTTATGTTTTTAGAATATAAATTAAAATAAATTATTGAATTAGTTTATAAAATTTGACATTTTTTATAATTTTATTTATAATATTTTTATTATAATTTATCAATCTTTTATATTTATGACCAATATTTTATACTTGATCCTATTTAATTTAATTTAATTTTAAATAGTTTTTTATGTTAACGTACAAGTTGATGTTATATTGAGTTATAGTTTATGAGAAAATAAGATAAATTATAATAAGTTCGAATAACAATATTTTTTATATGAACCAACTTAATTCAGTCAAATCGAATCAAATTTAATACAATTTTTCTGTTAAAGTATAGATTCATACTACATTGAAATCGAGTTTTATAGAAAATAAATTGAATTTGAATTTGGTCTTATAGAATCAGCCAATAAAATCCTGCTATATTTAAATATACTTTTAATTATTTATTACTACAAATATATTTATATTTTTATTATATTAAAAATATAATTATATTTTTATTAATATAATAATATTACTATTTTATTTCATAAGAATGACTCGAATTCTAACATGGTAAACTCCACTTCATACTCAGTCTACTGTCGTTATTATTTACTTATATATCAAAATTTGAGTTTTTATCAATTTTTAATCTAATAGATGATTCGAAGACTTTAATAATTTGTTTCATTTTAAAATTCGAAATAATTAAAAATTTGAAAAAAATAAAAAACTTGCTCGTATTACATAAATGAGTATTTTTTAAAATTAATTAATAAATTATTTTAAAATTTTAAATGAACTACTATTTTAAAATTTAAAGAAATGGGTCTTATTTTATTTTTCAATTGATGTAAATTACACATTTTAAAAATATACAAAATATTATATATAAAATTATAATTAAAAAATTTTGAAGAACCAATCAATAATAAATATAAAACTTCAAGAAATAATTTTTTTAAATTGTCTTATAAATTATGGTAATTGGTGATATACATGCATCTAAAAAGATAATGTACAATGCCATATTAATCGGATGCAAAATTATATCTGAAATTTGATATATATATATAGACATAAAATATACAAGGAAATCAACTACTACTTACAATTCAAATACTAATTAATTATTAGAAGCTCAAGCAAAAACATTTACATATATATATATATATAAATATATAATTTTTTTACATTACTAAAAACCGAAAATATAAAATATTACTATGAAATATAATAAGGACAAACAAAAACATATATTTTTTAAAAAAGTAACAACTGGATTTTTACTATTTATTTAATAAATAAATTAACAATTACGTGTTGCATACACGTTATTTGGTAATTATAATTTATTTTTATTTTTTCTCAAACAACCACGTGATATACCATAAAAATATGTTATATAATTAATTTATTCAATTATTAAATACTCTCAATTTAAAAAAATAAAAATTAAAAATAAAATTGGTAGAAGACAAGAGATGCAAGAGCCAGCCAATGGACGCAATTTCCATATTCTTTCGCTACCATCTATAAATCCCTGTTTGGAAGAGGATGAAGAAGCCACGTACATCGTCGTCTTCTTCGTATTTTCATCTGTTTTAAGCGGCGTATGTCTCAGAGGATCAGCGTACCTCACTTTTCCAGTATTGCTTTCCGCCTTCACTCTCGTCTCCTGGTTTTCAGTGACCCCCAATCGTATTGGTTAATTTGATTGGATTATTGTTTCGATTTATTATTTTCTGGGTTTTCTCTTTCGTTTGCCGTTTGGGTGTCGAAATTTTCTCGAGAAATTTTTGGTTGAAGAAGCATGGGTGTGAAGGCGTTTGTTGAAGGAGGGATAGCTGCGATCGTGGCGGGGAGTTCAACTCACCCTCTTGACTTGATCAAGGTCCGAATGCAGCTCCAGGGCGAAAGCCAAGTTCCCAAACCCAACCCCGCCGCGGTCCAGAATCTACGGCCGGCTCTTGCTTTCCAAAACGCAGGTACATCGACCATCCACGTGCCGCCTCCGCCGGTGGCGCGTGTCGGCCCAATCGGAGTCGGTGTGCGCATCATCCAGCAGGAAGGCGTGACGGCGCTCTTCTCGGGAGTTTCCGCCACCGTTCTCCGGCAGTCGCTATACTCGACCACCCGGATGGGTCTCTACGACACGATGAAGCAGAAATGGACCGACCCGAAAACCAGGACCATGCCCCTGACACACAAGATAGCAGGCGGGTTGATCGCCGGAGGGATCGGCGCCGCAGTAGGGAACCCCGCCGATGTGGCAATGGTCCGGATGCAGGCCGACGGGCGTCTCCCGCCGGCTCAGCGCCGGAATTACAAGAGCGTGGTGGATGCCATCGTGCAGATGACAAGGCGCGAGGGCATCACTAGTCTCTGGCGCGGGTCGTCGCTCACCGTCACCCGAGCCATGTTGGTAACAGCGTCGCAGCTGGCGTCGTACGATTCGGTGAAGGAGATCATATTGGAAAAAGAGTTGATGCGCGATGGGCTGGGGACCCACGTCACGGCGAGCTTCGTGGCGGGGTTCGTGGCCGCCGTGGCGTCGAATCCGGTCGACGTGATTAAAACCAGGGTGATGAACATGAAGGTGGAGCCCGGAAAAGCACCGCCGTACTCCGGAGCCCTGGACTGCACGTTGAAGACGGTGAGAGCGGAGGGGCCGATGGCGCTGTACAAAGGATTCATACCCACCATTTGCAGGCAAGGACCTTTCACTGTAATGCTGTTCGTCACGCTGGAGCAAGTTCGGAAATTGCTCAAGGATTTCTGAAAATGTCGGGTGTTAGATCGATGATGATGAAAAAATTTGGCTTAAAATCTGTTTTTTCTTTTCAGTTTCCACCATGTTTGGAGTGTGAAGCAATTTCATGCTTGCTTTTTTTTGTTTCTCCATTGTAACAATTATTGAGCTTTAAATTTAAATTATTAAAAATATTTTCCTATAAGTTTTTTTTTTTAAATTTATTAAATAAAAATTAATAAGAATTTATAAGTTTTGGATTCAATTTGTTATATATATATATACATACATACATATATATTGAATTTTAATTGTTACAATTTCAAAGAATCTGGGATTAGATTGGTAATGGCACCTAGATTCAGATACCCAAATAACTTATATAAAGTTTTAACTTATATACTTTTTATATCATAGTTTAATATATATATATATATATAAATAAATTTATTCTTATACTATACAAAAGTGTTATTTTATTTCAAAATTAATAATATAATCAATAAGTAAACGTGTGTCACGAAACCTCCTAATTTAAAATTTATACACATTTAGAGAGGTAAGATCTCATAAATTAATTATTTTTTAAAAATAATATATCTTAATATACGAGTATTAAATTATTAAAATTTTATTATAAATGTAACAACGATCTTATTTTAAAAAAATAATTATAATTTAAATCGAATATTTATTTATTTTAATAGCGACACCCTCAATATATTAAAACTTTATAAAATATAAAATTTTATTTGATATTATAACATATAAAGATAGTGTAATTATTGTAAGCTCTACATGTGAATTGTTAGTGCTTATATTTTGGCTTTGACTTGTGAATGAATTAGATGTTAGTCACCACATAAATTGGCCCCATTAGCTTTTGCTTTTTAGAGTGAAATTCTCACTAAGACAGCTTTTGATTTGATTGAACAAGATTAACAGAGGATTAAGAGTTAAAGTTTTCAATAATACAACTTTAAATACACCAAAATTAACAATTTAACAAAGATTAAAACTGGCTTAACACGAATTTGTATATAAGTAATTAGACTTTTTTTCAAAGAGGGTGCAACTAAAACTCTTATTTTAAAAGAATTAAATAAAAAAAAAAAAATTCATCATCCATTTGTATGAATGTATTATGATTAAACTCGATTAATTTATTAATATATTTATAGAATTACAGTAATTAAACTCGATTAAAATCTTCGCAAATCTTAGATTTTTGGGTAATAAGAACTTTGAGCTACTTTGTTTTCTTGTTTTGTTTATATATATATGTATATATTCTAAAAGATGCATGTGAGAGGCAGAGATAAGTATAGGGTATGTCCAATTCAACTCAATTGATTAGGAAATTGCATGTGGGTCAAGCTTTTTTTTTTTTAAAAAAAAAAAATATTCATCACAATATATATATGTATATGTATACATATATTGTATGATGGTGGTGGAGAGGAAAGGCATATCATCAAGTGGAGGAGACTCATCCAACAAAAGCAATCTTGGTTGTTTTACTTGACAAGTTTAGAATTTGTACACCAATTTTGGGATGCCTATATATATATATATATATATATGTTCATTCCTAATCTTGCTTTCTTTACTATTTGTTTTAGTAAAGAGAAAATACAAGTCATTACCTAAATTAATCTCCACTTGTGGAAATAATAATACAAAGTTAATCTAGTTTAAGAAAAAATAAGAGAGGTATGAGAAATCTCATATGAAATTCCTTAATTAACTAAATTATTAAGAGTAAAATATTAAGTTAATTATGCATCAGATCTATAACATTGGAAGTGGTAACTCAACAGTTGTCCTAATTGACCACACCTTTTGTTTTTGAAGATAAACTCTGTAGATTTGCATCTTAATCACATGCTTTTGTTATTTAATTCTGGATTAAGAAGAATCATCTTCATCACTTTCAATTTGCAGATCTTACTAAAAATCATGCTAGCTTTTTCAACTGTAATGAAATCAGTAACAGGAGTTCAAGATATGTCTCTTTCTCAGCCATGGCTGGACTGAGGTATGTTCTGTGGAGGAGGTAGGTACAAAATGTTCTCAACAAAATTATTTTTGTGCGAGAAATAAGAATAGCTGCTTACAGGTTGAAGAGACAGTCATAAAATGAGATCATGCACTATTTACTTTGCCAAAATTTCTACATCTTCTTTATTTGATGAAGGAAAAACACCAGATAGGCCATGGTGAAATTCTTTACAAAATCTCTATATACTGTATATATCTTTAGAACAAAAATCATCTTTCCGAGGATACCTTCTCTCTGTTTAGTGTTTCTATAAAGCCGTCAGCCTTCTCTATTCTTCAATCTGATACTAACTGAAGCTGAATTGCCTTCTTAAATTCATCTATATAGAACATGTATTACTCTAATAGTAGTAGTTGTCATTGTAATTTACAGAATCTTTACAGAGCATGGAACGGACTTCCATTATCGATCTTGGTGGCTCCAGGTCTTTTTCTTGCAGTGCGTTGCCGAGCAATTGTTGCATCTGGGATGCAAATATTTCGTCTAGAATCTACATTTCCAAAGGCAGTGATGAATGAGAAGAACGAGCAACACAAAACTGGAATTATGAAAGAAAAATCTTAATGGAAAGTTTTAAATGCTTCATTTGATTCAATTCTCCTTTTTAAACTAATAATCACTTTCTAGTTCTAGTTTTCATATTAGTTTTAATATGCTTAGTTATAATATAACTTGTTATATTTGAGTTACTACTACCTAAATTGCTTTGAATTAATTTATAATGGGAACTCAATTTATATTTCTCGACGCGGGAATTGAGCTCTCACCATCAAGAAATTCAAATACTACAGACTATGTTCTACGTATGTATATTAAGATTAATATGAAACCAAAATGAGTCCTGCATATAATGCAACTTACAGAAGCAGAAATCCGGGAGCCTTTGTACCAGGACTTGTTATCTTTTCTATCTTCTAGAAAACGCAGGATATCCTGTGAAAGACAGAAAAATAGAAAAATTCAACTATGGGATTTCACAGCCCCATGTAATGAATGTCATTATGGAACTAGATTTACCTGTCCCATCCGGTCCCAGAAACCCCGGCAGATGGCTATGAACACATGAGGTTCAAATACTGAATAAAGGTTGTCAATCGTCTTTACCAATAAATCTTTTAAAGGTTGCATTTGACAACGCACATCTGATTCTGCCATAGTATCTTTCAAGTCTTGGATTATTTTCTTCAATTTTGTAACACTTTGTATCCTTGTCTGCACAGACAAACAAGAGATGACCAGATTAGCAGATATATAAATGACAACAATATGTAAAGTTCCCATATTAAAAATTTTAAACAAAGTTAAACTCGTTGCATCCTAGGTACACATACATTTTCTGCAAGTTTCTCCACAATTGCTTGCAGATAATTTCTGAATTTTGCTCTGAGCATTACTGTCACTTCAGAGAGGCGCTCTCCTGGGACTCCACTTCCACCATCAGGGATACAAGAAGACCAAGATTTCAATTGAGTTTCTATCCTCGGTTGCAGAACATCAAGCATTCTTTTCATGGAATTTAGAAGAATTCCTAACTGTAAAATAGTTGTAGGTTAACTTTCCATGTAGAAACCCATTTTTCATTTAGAAAAATACAGGTAAAAAAAAAAAAGTACACACACCTCATCTGGAACAAAGTAGATGTTAGTCGTTCCTTTTGCCAATTTTTGGACATATTTTAGCCCGAATATCTTGGGGTTCAGATTGTCCTTAATTGGTGATAAAACATCTGCATATTGCTTGTCTAAAGCATCAAGAATCGCTCTTTCGGTGTCTGCAATAACCTTGCAATAGATGCAAACCAAAATCATTTTTAACTTTATGCATTCTAATTTCACATAAGAAGGTAAAATGAATTTTCTAAGGAAATGGCGGAAAGAAAAGGCAACCTATCAAGCATATAGAATGATTCAATCTTGAATTATTCCAACCCATAAATAAGGAACAAAAATAAAAACCATTATATCTGGCCATTATATAATGCAACATTATATAAAAGAAGTTAATCATAATTTATGAACATACATTCTCCAAGGCTATTGTATATTCTGGCCACTGCAGGATAATGATCTCATATTCATTAAGTGTTTCTTTCAGCAGATTGTATATATCATCGACAAAAGGGGTTGTTAAGTGTTGTGTTCTGACACCAGACCACTTCACCTGAAAGCAATCAGTTTTTTAGCAGTAAATATAGAGGATACAAAATCTGAGAAAAATTTTCGGTTAATGGGATAAAAATATATTAACAATTTTTTGGTACTGTCAAATTTCTTGTCCTTTCACATTATTTGGTGCATGTCTGTCTGTTGGTGACTGATATTTGAGCAAACGCATGTTTTGTACACGAACTAAATAAATGTAATTTATTTGGACCAAAAACTTAGAGAGGTGGTTATCATACTACAAGAGTTGACACTCAGATATATCAAATAAAAATACAATACAAATTAGGATTTCATAGTATCTTGGTGTTATTAAATTTCCCGCGACCGATCCAAGAAAAAACTTGATCAGCATTTAGAATCATAATCTAAATCCACGCCAATAGACCCAAAAAATCAATGTACTTATTAACTTGATTGCTAGCAAGGAAATCACTGGAAGATCTATACCTTATCTAATTTGCAGGAATCCAGCAAAGCAAGACGTTTGCCTTCAATCCAGAGGCTTATATAGTAGTGGAATAACTCTTTGGCATTGACACCCCCTTTGATGGGACTGAAAGAGTATAAGATGAGCGAAGAAATTAAGTAACTCAAAATTAAAAGAACCACAGATATCATTATAGAATAACAAAGAGAACAAACTCATACTTAATGTTCCAGCGAGAAAGATCCCTCTGAAAGTCTGCTGTTGCGATAACAAGCTCTGTGACGGGAGGTGATGGACCAGAAGGAGGGCATGCAACAAGAAATGCCCGCAATCTACTACTAAGCTCCACACTATATATTGATGCAGAAAGATTTGGAAGGTCCAGAAAACTGCAAAATATTAAAGTGGGACAACAATCAACATCAATTCAAGAAATATCAAATGATGTGTCTAAAGTTAAGCTTTTCTTTAACCTTTATAGTTTTTCCTCTCAAATAAATTCTTCCACCTCGAGTCACTTTGCTTTTTCCGTTTTTTCGTTGAGGAAATGGTGCGAGCGAGAGTAAAATACAAAAAATGTCTTGATTTATGTAAGAGAAGAGTTACTGAGAACAAGATTGCAAATTAATTGGAAGCATAAAATTAACGGGTAATGATAGCCATAGGCAATGATAAGATAATACTAACCTGGGGAATACATGCTGATTATGTATCTCTATATCAGTCTGAATTTCATTTCCAAAACTCAAGATTAAGGACTTCATCTTCTGATAGGAAGTAGAAGCAATAAGAGGATCTATTAATGTGCCTTCGTTACTGCTAAGAATAGCTTCATCAGTTTCTGCCAAGTGCCGTCTTGACCTCTTCTTTACAGCAGCCTGTATGGGCAGTGGAACTTCAATAAATTAAAAAAAACACGACAACATAGAAAGGAGGAGAGAAGGGAAGTAAAGGTTTAAATATAAGGCCCTATGACCAGGAATAACTTAACTACTAGTACCTGAAAATATCTACATAACTTCAACTGCGACTCAGGATTTAATATATCATGCAGAAGACTGTAAAGCTTGACCGCAGGTGCCAAGGCAGGAGCTGGTGAACCAGTGGCAGGTCCAAAAACATCAACTATCCCTGATGGTAATGCCTCATTCAGTGACTTGTAGTTCTCAAATACTAAACGTAGAATCTCCTGTACTTGTTCATCAATTTCCCCTAGTATACGATTCTGATTGACATACATAACAGTAATAAGCAAGAAAAACAGGAAATTTATAATTATGTCCACAATAAAAAATTGGAAGTGTAGGCAATGGAGGATATAGATCTTTTCTCAAAAGGTTGTTTAGATGTGCTTTTCAGGACAGATTATGCTACCAGAGATAAAGAAGATGTATAGGTGTTAATTGTACAAACAACATCAAAAATAAAATCATAATTGAGTTCAAAAGCTTCAAGAAGTCACATTCAGCAAATGCTCACGAAGACAGTTGCATATCAGATATCACATTTAGTACAATCTATTGGATCTCAGAAATATGTAGTAAAATTACAGGTAAGACAGATGCCACTTTTACAATTGAAAATCCTTTTTCTGAATTTGTACCATCTGATCACTGAAGCAGAAGAAACGAAGATCACAAGGAGAAATTTTTAAGTCAATAAATATGCATGACTCTATAAGCACAGAAAAGTCCATTTCCAAACTTCATTATAAAGAATAAAATTCATACCTCTTGATGACTTAATACATTCTTGCCATTGCCCTTCCTTACTACGGGTGATAACAGATCATGAATCAGATCAAGGCAGTCCTTAGTAGGTGTAGCAACATCCATAACATATGTAAGGTATCTGAAAAAATAGCAGATATATTAGGCAAAGTAAATTTCTTAATGTATAAGAATTATGGTTAAAGACTGTTCAACATAATCACACTACCTTAGCTTTGTATAAGCATCTGATATTCCATAGTATGATGCAAATTCATTCACTAACCATTTCCACTGACCATTTAGCAACAAATTTCTTTGTTGAAAATGTTGGACTTTCATAGCAACTTCTAGCACCAAATCATATGCCACAGTTTCTGCAACAGAGCCACACTAGAAACAGAGAATATAGTAGTTAAAGTAAAAAGTCAGAATTCTATTTCATCTATATTTTACTCAAATAGGAAAAGAAAATTACCAAAGTACATCCATAATAAATATGTTTGTAAAGATGCTAGACAATTAGACTTTGCATGTACCTTATTTTGGTTACTCTCGTCTTGACAAGAATAGTTTATGTACAGTTGTATCCTGCCAACAAGTTCATGCTCTGGCTCATGATATATGGGCCACCATCGAAGTTTATCACCCTGTATTTTCAAAAATATATAAACCTTGCACAACAATCCCATTCCTAACCTAAGAGCTTAAAATTTGAACAAAAAACCTTACTGGATCATCAGCAATAGCTGTCACTTGGGCCATGACTCGGCCATAGTGCTGTCCTTTGGAATCTTGAACTTCAATGATTAAATCATCACCAAGACTATCTGGTAAACTGCAACATCAAGAAGCTTGAAACTGACTACTATAGGCAAAAGAAACAGAAAAAAAAGAAAGAAAGGCAAATGTAAGAATGAGCAAAAGAAAACTGTACATACAATACATGGGCTTCTCCAGATCCAGGCTGCATGCGGACCTGATCCTCTTCGGGTGAACTTTTCAATCTCAATAAGCACGAATATGATTCTAATAACAATAGTTATTATCCATAGTTAGACCATTAAAAGGAAAAGGAAAGAATAAATCACTTTATTATCAAGAGATAAAACCTATACGAGTGCAAAACTTGGTAGATTTTTAAGTAGTGGTTGATGCAAGATGACTAGCAGTCAAACTAACTTGCCCCAAAGGATAATTTAGAAATAGATAAATTTAAGTAAGAAACATAAGAAAATAAAAGTAAGACAAAAAAAAAAGAGATCAAGGTGAAGAAATAAAGAGAGAAGTACATTGAATGTGATAGATTAAAATAGAGCAATAATTAGAAGAATGAATACAAAGAAATATAAAAGGTAATAAACTCCAATAAAGAAATTCTTGGTTCATCATTGTCCATCCCCTTTGTTGGGAGCTTCGATGACCAATCAGATCTCATGCAAAAAATGGTATGTACAGTTGCCCAAACTTGAATGCAGATAGAATATCAGTACAAAATTATGGACCCCATAAAGGAGTTACATACCTTGAACTACTTCATATGAAGCTGAACTGTTCTGCAGCGTAATTATTTCATTTTTCAAGACCCTGGATACCTGCTTAATATATTGAGTGCCTGCCTGCAAATAAGCCAAGCTTTGTCGTGAAAATGAACCATTGACAGGAGTTCTAGGTGTTACACGGACTGTCTTTATTGCCTTCCATCCAGAAGATAGCGTGGCATTCAGATGCGATACATGTTCACGAAGTGAGTCTAGCCTCAGCATACGTGGTGGAAGAGACATAAACTGCAGCCAGGAGTGGGTCTAAACCCATTTTGATCCTGCGACTG